GGGTATTTGTATACACAAGGAGTGCCATGTGCACTACCCGAAGGATGGACATATTTGAAACACGGACTTTGGGGGGGGAAACCAAGGGCAACGCACGTAACCTAAACATCTGTACCCCCATAATATGCTGAAATAATAAAAAAAAAAGAAGATACACATTAAAAAAAAAAAAGCAGGATTATTCACGAAGGACCATTAATAACCACTTTCAAAGCCTCGAGCAAATCTGCACTTGTCATTGTGTTCAAGTCCACCTCCACGGCTACTCCTTTGGCCTTCATGTGAACAATGTTATCAGGCTGATCACCAAATATGGGAATTCCCACCATAGGGACCCCATGATAAATAGCTTCATAGATCCCATTTATTCCACCATGAGTGATAAAAGCTTTGGTTTTGGGATGACCCAGTTGGGAATGGGATGAGAAATGGTAAGATGTTTATTATAAAGTGTTAAAAGAATTTCAGAGACCTAAGAGAAAAAAAAACTATGAAATATCTCACTGAAAAAGGCAGCATTTTCAACAAAAGATAAGCAAATAGAGCATACCTGCCAAAGAAATTTGTTATCTGAAGAAAAGCAGGCATTAATTTCCACTGCATTGCCTGAAAATTTTACCTTAATAGTAGAAAATGTGAATCTATAAAATAAACAGCCAATTCTTTAATTATATCTACATTAAAATTAGAGGTAAAGTGATATACTTCTATAATTTTTGAATATTTGATTGAATATATTAGCTGTTAAAAAGATATTCAATTGGTTTCTCATCTAATTGCTTGTTTTGACTTTATCATGGTCTTACCAAGAAGATCATTCTGGGGTATCCAACATAGAGCTGAATATTGGCTCCAAATGTGGCTGGTTTTTTTCCTTTGTATCACCACAAAACCTGTGGAATAAAATGTATGTATTTCACAAGTTAAACTACAGAATAATAGCATTATTGAGTTCTATGCAATTTAATCAAATAAAAAATAAAATGATTTTTGGGTAGTTCATAAATACCATTATCTAAAGAGTAGAAACATATAATTGTAGTAATAACAAAGTTAAAATTAATTGAATAAATAAATTATTACATGCAGATTGTTAGACTGTAATATTAAAATTATAATAGACTTTTAACTCTAGGAGACTTCAATTAATTAGAAATAGTGCAAAAATCTAAGCTTCTACTTCTATGCCTAACCCTACTGGATAGAGTTCTAATACACAGAATATATGGAGAATATTCTTGAGCATAAATCCTCTCTGTCTTTGTTATATTTCTTCCCTCACTTTTTTGTTCCGTGGAGCTTAGACACTTCAGAACTTTTTCTGGAATAGTCAGCAAAGGCCCTAAAATTTCAAACCCTAAAATGTGAGGTAAGAACTCAATGTTTCATTTCTATTGCAAACAAATGACAACAAAGTGAGGTCCTTCCATAGCAACAGCAGGCTCAGGAGAACAATGACTGATTGCACCCAAATACACTATTGTAATGTTTTATAAAATATTTACTTA